ATATTCTCATTAGGACGCACCTATAAAAATTTTAAAAATAATTTTTCGATAAAATATAATGACCAAAATACCCTTTGAATAATTCAAGGGTATTTTGGTCATTTTATTTCATTGAAAATATTTTTATTTTATTTTTTGCTAGTGCAAATTTAATAGAGGAATGAATGTCCAAAATTTGGTGTCAAAATAGTTTATAGAAAATAATTAAAAATAAAAGAATATACAGACGTGACATTGTGATTAGGGCAATCTTAACCCTCCATTCAAAATGAAAAGTTGGATAAGGGGGAGGATAGAACTTCCATGTTGTAGGGGAAGTATAGAAAGCTTGTCCTTTTCTTTTATTGAGCACATTATACACGTAGTTCCCCAAGCAAATAAGCTGTTTGAGAGTTTTTTTCTTAGATCTAAAATTATGGGATCTACTTTAGAATCCCAAATGATTAGTTTCAAATAAAATGTATTTTGAACACCAAAAATATGATTTGACAGCGGATTATCTTTGTTTCGATTCTAATTTTTGTTTTTAATTATTTTTTAAAGCTAGTGACGTTACATTAATTTAGGTCCCCACATCTTGGGGTCCTAAAACTAGGTGAGGTTTTATGTAAAGCCTCATCCTTATATTCTGGAAGTTCTAGAAGTAAGGAGCATCTCTAAATTTTTGCATGGAGATGTAGTTCCGATATCAGAAACCTTATGATGACTTCAAAATCTATTTTGGTCCTAGCTGTGAAATTTAAAATTCTAAGCATGATACATATCAAATAGATCTATAAAGAATTGAAATTTTGAAAGTAGATAAACCTGATAATTTGTTACAAAATGCAATATTTTTAGGACTTTGAAATTCCTTTTTTTCTTCATATCCACGTATCTCGAGATCAAGATGTTCAATTAGACGGTTTTCTAATCCAATAGTATAAGGAAGGTTGAACCTTATGTAAACTTTTTAACCTAATAATAATTTTAAATGAGGTTTAATATGAGGGAGCTACCAAATGATGGATTAGCAACAGTGGTGAATTTCAATTGTTATTTGGATGAGGAAGATATAAAAAGCGTCAAAGATGGATTTGATATAACACGTACCATTGTTTTGAATGGCTAAGCTTGTGTTAAAGGACGCAAGAGAAACTACCAAGCTGTCGAGTGTTAACTATATGATATGGGTTGTGAAAATGAAGGATTCCCAGCCCTTGCCAAATGCACTTCAATCCTTTAAATATCTAACATTTGTCAAATAACGAATGATAGCGAAACTAATGTCCTGATTCAACATAAGTTTTGGTATTAAAGAGAGATCCAAATTTTTTATCTATAGTTTGAAAGTTGAACTTTCGAACCGTTTAAAACTCAAAATTTTGATATATATAAATGATTAGAAAGTCCTACTTTCAAACCACCCAAACCATAAAGAATTGAAGTTTTTGGGCGATTTAAAAATCATACTTTCAAACCATCTTTAAGATACAAAAAAAAAGGAAAAGACCCAAACCATAAAGAATTGAAGGTTTTTGGGCGGTTTAAAAATCATACTTTCAAACCATCCATAAGAAACAAAAAAGGAAAAAGTTTTGGTGGGTCGAAAGTTGGACTTCAAGTCCCCCAAACACCTTTCTTTTTTTTTTTGAAAGAGATGTTCAAAATTTGGCCCCACAAACCGCCAAAATGTTCATTGTGTTTTATTTTGTATTTTGAATGATTATAAAGTTATATTTTCAAACAGTCCAAAACTCAATTTTTTTTTGTATCTTTGCCATTTCAAAAGACCTTCGAATTGGCCATAACATACAAATAAAAAATAAAAATTTTTGGATTTCATTGTTATATATCTCAAAAAATGACCATTCTTTAGCATGGAAAGTTATTTTGGATCCATATATAAATATCCCTAATTTAAATATTTTATTCTTAATTATTATTATTTTGGGAATTTAAGACGGTATTATTCCATCAAACTACTACACATACACTTGGTTACCCAAAACGGGAATGTTTTTTAATTTGGGAAAGATTTTTATGCTTTCCCTACAGCATAGAAGTTTATCCTCCCTTTACCTAGCCTTCCATTCTGAGTGGAGGGCTAAGATTGCCTTAATCACAATGTCATGTCTTTACATTATTTTATTTTTAATTTTTTTCTATAAATTCTTTTGACACCAAAATTTGGACGTCCATTCCTCTATTAAACTCGCACTAGCCAAAAATATATTAAAAAAATTCAATAAAATAAAATAACCAAAATACCCTTAAAAGATTCAAGGGGCATTTTGGTCATTATAGATTATCAAAAAATTATTTTTAATATTTTTTATAGGTGCACCCCAATGAGAAGATGACATTTACCAAATTTCATATTCATACAATTTGTATAAAAAAAACTAAAAATACAATATTTTGAGACGTCGGATTTAAGATCAAACGGTGAATGGCTCTCTTGACCAAAAATTGGACGGCCGTACGGTAGGGAGAAGATAGATCTTCTATATTGTAACGAGACCATAAAAAGCTTGCCCTTTTAATTTTGCATACATCATGTTTAACAAGATATCTAATATTTAACCCTAATCCACGTCCATCCACAAAGAATAGCATAGGTTTTGGGGGTGTCACTTGTATTTAGTGGTTCCACGTGGCGCAACTACAGCAAACTATGAAACAACGTCCCTTGATTCATGTTTTGGAAGCATATGGTCTCCTTCCATGACCAAATAAACCCTTATTATAAATCAGTTAATAATTTAAAACTGATTGTCACTTTAGTCAATAGGTAAAATGACCAATAAAATAATAAAAAATAAAAAATTGACCAATAGAATATTAAAACTGATAGGAGTTTAGGAAAGCTTCGATTTACTCTAAGCATTCATCTAGAAGAAATTTAAACAAATAAGTTTTCCTGTATAAAGCCCTAAAAATGGTGGGTTTTTTTGGGTAGATTAAACATGGGTTTTTATTTTATTGTTTTACCTTTTATAAAAAAAATACTTGGCTTTATGTCCCCTTATTCATTAGCCGGCTTCGTTTCCCTTGCACTTGTGTCAAAAAATAAATGTACAATAAACAAAAGCATTAAAAAAAATAGAGAAATTCATCCAAAAATCTCATTTTATTACATGAATTTAAATATAGTATTTTAGATTTTAGATTTTATGTTTATGTCGCACTTTTTTTAAGTATATATTGTATTTTGATTTTAATTTTTACATATCAAATACAACCCAAATTTGAGGTATTCATACTTCTCACTATCCTGTGTCTTTAAGAAATATACAAGAAAAATAATATGAATGAAATAAAATAATCAAAATACATTTGAAACTTGTTGGGGTATTTTAGACATTTTGTTTTAGTAAATTCTTATTTTTTTTATAGGTGAGAAACGGGGAGAAGATTGGGTTTTCAAAATTTGAGTTTAATCTTATGTATAGAAAAATTAAGATTAAAAATAGAAAACCTGCTAAAGGAACAAAAAACAGAATTTTTCTTGTTGAACTACATAACAAAAGGCCTCTCTCTGTCCCCTTCCTGTGTTGTTTGCATAAGCATGGCAATAGGCCGGCAAAGAACCTTATACCACAATCTACCATCGTACTCTTTCAAACAGTTATTTAAAAGAGCACGTATGCTATGCTCCAAAAGAGGAGTACATTCTGCATCTACTCCATCAATCAAAAGAAAAAAATATATTGAATTTCAAGTTTTACAACAGTAGATCTCATTTTTCACAAGTTGGACGGTTTCTATTCAATCTTGACAAATTATTATTTCGCTAGTACATACGGAATTCAATTTGGAAATTTTTTTTCTTCTAAGGTTAAAATACAGGTTGAAGAGGTTACAACCCCTTTGAGGATTTTAGCCGTGGGAGTAAATAGAACGTATACTCCCGCGACAAGTATAAAATCTTTTTGGTTTTAAAATTGCTAGAAAAATAATAACGTTTTGTCCAGTTTGCTTGGGTTGTATCTATCCTCCAAGAACGTATTCCTACTTCAATATGCATATGACATAGGAAAGATATGAATAATAATTTTCAGAAATAAAAAGCCGTTTGGAAATATACAAGACAAGGACCACGAGACAAACAAGCCATGAGACAAATGCATGCAGCTTGTGGGGACCCAAACGCGTAGCATTTCATTTCTTTCTCCTTCAAAACCTCCACTCCTCTGCCAAACGTTCCTCCATTAACTCTTCACAGCAAGAGTTAAGGCTCTTTCCTTGAAGGCTTTAGCTTTCCGTGACCTCTTGCTCTTGGAACAAAGATTTTGTGTGTGTTTGTGGTGATGGCGGGGGCGCCGGGAGATCGATCCCTGAAGGAGACTCCGACTTGGGCAGTGGCTGCTGTTTGTGCTGTTTTTGTTATAATTTCAGTGCTTATCGAGCACGGAATTCACTCTCTTGCAAAGGTAAATTTTGAATTGATGCGCATAACAAATGTATTGGCTAATGTATACTCTTTCTGCCCACAATAACTGTGTGTTTGAAAGAGAGTGTATGGGTGAGAGAGAGGTACAATGATCCATCTGTTTATGTCCATTATCATAATGGAAGGAGTCGCTTTTTTTTTTTTGGGTTCTTTTTTCCTCCACGAGTAAGTACATTAAAGGAAAAAAGGTCTAGCAGAGAGGTCATGTTCGTGGAAATTCTGATGTGATATCTAGAGTTTCATTCTCATCGGGTCTTAAGTTAACATTCAAATAATAATAATTAAAATAATAAATACACTAAAGTACACACTAAGAACAGGCTTCATGTGAAAAGAAGGTGATTAGACATGAAAGTATTTTCACACCAATTGGCTAAGGGAACCAATTGGTGTGAAAACACTCCAACAACTAATTACGTGAATGATTTTTTTCACATGGAAGTATTTTCACACCTATCAAACATGCCCTAAAAAAAAGCCAGGTTTTTCCTAATGTGTTAATGCACGAAATAAAAGACTTGAGCTGAAGGTTCATTTTTCCACACGTTTAATTTTTTTTCTCTTATTTATAAGAAAGGTGGGATGCGTTAGGGCGAAAATAAATAAAGAAACCATGGTTCTCTTCTATAAAATTTGTCATTGTATGGAGAAGATGAAGTGCACAATTCTAAATGGGAAAGTTTAGTGTGACTACAAAGAGGCTAATAATATTTTGGATGCGTGTGTTGATGATGCCTAATCTACTTTTATATCGTCTCGTCTCTTATTGCAGTGGTTCCAAAATCGCCAAAAGAAGGCCTTACTTGAAGCTCTCGAGAAAATAAAAGCCGGTAAAGTTTATTTTCAAATATTGGGATAAGTCTCAGATGATGATGATGATAATAATGAAATTAATTTAACGACATTTTTTATAACATGTCTAAGTTAATCCTGCATGAAACGCCTACTTTGGTGCTTTCAGTTTCCACAAAATATGTTTCCCCGTCAATATAAGTGATTAATACTTTTCACATTTGTGTTATACATTAAGGACATTAAGCCTATGTCCGATTTAGAAACCTAGACTTTTCTTTTAGAAAATTTCACTATATAACTAAATGTAAATTAAAATCCCATAACCCCCTTCTTTAAATGTTGTGCAAACTTACCGTGTCTTGAAGGCCAATTTTGACATGGTATTTGTGATACTTGTATCAATATCAGCCCCGACACTTCCCATCCACAATCAAACGAACTTCACTCTAATCAAAATTTGCTTTGTTTTTGAGTAAATCTTCTTCTTTTTTGTTTAATGCCCATGGAGTTTGGTTTTTGTTTCTGATGCTATCTTGGTATATGGATATGCAGAGTTGATGCTCTTGGGATTCATATCTTTTCTTCTGACCATTGGACAAAAGCCCATATCTATGATTTGTATTAATAAAAAAGCTGGAGACACAATGCTTCCCTGCAAGAAGGAAAAGTATGACTATGGATCATCGGAAGGTGGCAATCACAGAAAGCTTTTGTGGGCAGCTGAAGAGCTGCCATGGCGCCGGGTCTTGGCGGCTGGGACTGGAGATGAATATTGTACCAATCATGTAAAGAATACCTCTTAAATCCTCATACACACTAGGACTGAGAATTTAAGGTCCGGATCTGAAACCGGAAATTCGGATCCTATTTGGATTCGGGTATGGATCCATACCAAGATCTGGATCCAAAATCTAGATCCGAATAGTACTTCGGGTTAGATCTAGGTAAAGGTTGATCTGATTCGGATCCGATCGAGTGTTTTAAAATAATATATTATTTTATATAATTATGTCATATATATGTTATAATTTATATATTTATTTATATATGATTATTTTAATTTTTATAGTTATATTTTAATTTTATAATATACAAAATTGAAATGAATTTAGATCCAGATTCAGATCCAAATCCAAATATTTAGGATCCTATTGAATCCAAATCAGATCCAAATCCAATGCATACTTTTTGGATCCAAATACGGATCTAAGTGAATCCGTATCCAATCGAAAAAATTCTCCGCCCTAAGCTAGAGAGAGAGTGTTGGTGACTTTTGGGGTCCCCATCACTCAATTTTAATTGGAAGTATTTTCAATCTTTTAAAACTAAAATCTACCTAGAAGGCTGATGACTGATATGGTTTTTTTATTTTTTATTTTTGTAGGACAAAGTACCTTTAATTTCCCAATCTGGAGTGCATCAACTGCATATCTTCATTTTCGTGCTAGCCATTTTTCATGTCCTATATAGTGTGGTGACCATGGCTCTCGGGCGTGCAAAGGTATTTAATTTTTTATACATCTTTCAAAACCTAATTAATTCGATCGATTGTATGCTATTATACCATTTGCTTTTTGTAAAAAGAGGTCATGATCACTTATAGCCTAGATTTAAAATATGACATTTTGGGGTGTATCACAAAGTTTAAAATTATTTTAAACTTTGAGCCTGATCACTTGTTTATATTTAGCAGTTTAATTTCAATCTGAGAGCTATTGTGACCTCCTTGTACAAATGATTTTATTGTATACCGTTTTTTAATGTGATACATTAGAAGAAGTGATTTATCTTTCACATGTCACCAATATAAGCTATATTTTATTTTTGAAAAGTATATGCTCGAAATAGGAAATATATCGTTTCGATTTTTTTTTTTCTCTTTTCTTTGTTATTTCTCCAGGGTTAGAAGGGTTGAATTCTTAATTTTGTAATTTCTTTTGAAATGATCAGATGAATAGGTGGAAGGTATGGGAGTCCGAGACGACGTCTTTAGAGTATGAGTTTTCACATGGTAATTGCTTATTCCTTTTCTTTTCATGTTCTCGATAACAGATCTAATAAATCTATTGGCTGAATTCTGTACAGGTTGTGGTCCCTAAAACAAGGGTTGATTTTCTTTTTCCTTACATTTTGGTTTATGTATAGATGGTTCATTAAGGTTAAGATCATTATTTATATAGGGGCTGATTTAGGCCAGATGTTACTGATAATAGGGCCTTCAAATATGAAAAAATATTGAGTGATTTATATACAGATCATAAATTTTGTTTTAAAATAAGAAATGCTCCATTTATAAAAAAAATGACAAAGAAGATCGGTCAATCTGCTTTTTTTTTTTTTTCTCCAAAATTACCATTTCATCTGAGGATAGAATCCTCAATCTGAATTTTAATTTATTTATTTTTGAGTTTTTTCGTTAGATAAGAAGTGTCCCAAATTTTAGAGTAATGCCCTACTAACGAAAAAATTATAATAATAAATAACTAAATAATAATAA